GCGCCACCGTGCTGCACTAAAATAAAATAATCCCTGGATTTCAACCCTGTCATGAGCCTGCGACATGTTGCTCGATTCCTCACACCATTAAAGAGTCGTGGGACTGGTGGCAGCTATTCTTCTGTTTGCACAGGCACATTGCAGTGCCATTCAGGGATCCCTCGTATTTCAGCCAACGTGTCTGCGATCTTTTACCATGTGATCCCGTGCAATAATCATGATGCCGTTTGATGTTTTTCTTCCCAGAGGCAGATTGCTCACAATATTAAATTTGGGCAGAAACCAACGTCCACCTCTTTCAGAAGAAGCGACGCCGCCGAGGGCAGCTCAGATGATGAAGACGTGCCCAGAAGCCCTCTGAAGGTGGTTGCTCAGATTGAGGCAGAGCCTGTGGATACTGAGATGAAGGTATTGCTTTGCTGGGTAATGTACTTGCACACATAAGAGATAGGCCTCCCCCGACAACCCAATGAGTGAATTTAATAGTTCAATCCAGAATGGCGTCTCTGCCAATCAGCACTGGACCTCTGGAACAGGGCGGTGCTGCCTGTGATGTGTTAAAAGATGATTGGCTACAAGGCGAATGGATGGGCGGAGTCTGTCTACACTTCCTCATTCGCCCCCTGTGTGTGGTCACAGGGTTTGTAGCTGTGAGCTGAGGTGTGAAAAAACACACAACTGGCAAACCATTGGGTGTAGCAGAAAAAAACTGAGGATCTAATTTTATTTTTTTTTAAAACAGGAAAAAAGAGTAAACAGTGCATCATCCAAGAAAATTAATACAGAATATAAAATTGAATGTGGTGTTGGATGGAACTTGTTTCTCTGGCAGTACTATATCATTTTTTTTCTTTATTTTAGGACTCTGCTGATCTTCCCAAAAATGGCCACACAACTGAGGCAAGCACCAGGACTTCTGAAGTCAAGCAGGTAACTTCATTAGTGCTGCACAGCGAGCCACTGGGAACATCGAGCACATCAGTGGGATTGGATTCTGCTTGAGTAAGGTTCGCCTGCTAATTGAGCAGTGAAACCCTGCAGCCCAGTGCTTTCCTCCATGAGGAGAGAGGTCCTTGATTCTGCCTGTACCTTCTGATTGATCGCTATTCCTCTCTCCGCAAGCATTGTGCATAAATACTAATCCAGGATCTTGACAGATTTGCATCATGAACATCATGTCTCTTGCCTTCACTTTTTTTGGAAAACTGATGTGTGAGACTGTGATATTTCATCTCATATTCAGGTCCAAAGATAGAGAAAAGAATTCACAAGACATGTCATTCAGTGTCTAACCATTAATACAAGCAGATGGTTCACCAAGAAGTCTTTATAATGGTTTATAATGTTTTTGATCATTCTGAAATTCCATGTTATTACGCGTTTCTTCAGGATACTCCAGTCAAATCTCCAAGACAGAGAAGAGCCGTTCTTGCAAGCGGAACAATCGAATCCATTAATCTCGACGCTGTCCCACGCTCCGCTTCCCGCCTGGATAACACCGCCGCTAAACACAAGCTGGCCATAAAGCCCAAAAACCAGAGGGCATCCAAGAAGCACCGGAGGCTGACCCAGGTGAGCAGGAACACACACGCTATTCATGTGCACAGGAACACATCGGTGTGCTCCAGCCTCAGGATCGGTGTTAATAGTAGCCATCCTACCTGAGTATGTCTTTCCACCAGACTTCCACTGTCTACATCTATAGGGATTTAATGTTATGAATATTAATTAGTTTATGCAATATCACAACGCTGAACGATGACATCATTTCTGTTTTAGAGAGTCCATTTCTGTTTGTTGCATATATGGAGAGTTAGCAGCCACAAACAGCTGTTTTTGCCCTTATTAGGCTCTATATGCACTTTGGTACGAAGTGGGAATGCTTTCTCCCTCTAATATTTCTAAATCTTTATAATATTCACTGTCTTACAACATTCCAACATTCAGAAAAAAATGAGATGGAGGGGTTACAACAGAAGGATGGACAGTAACATGACAAATAAGTGAATTAGGTGGCACCTTCATTCAAGAGTAGAGTGTCACGATGCATTCCTGCCCCTGTTTCAGCTAATGATAAGGTCATTCCAGGGCCATTTGCACAGTGCATCAGTGTGTATGGGCAGTACTGCTTGGACTTGGCAAGAGGATGATACAAAACGCAAGACATCCAATGTTTGTACATGCAGAGCACACATCAACTGAGAACACTGGGCATTTATAATATTCCACTCAGGACATTTGTAATCTGTTTTATTTTCAGGATCTGCACAACCTTTCTTCTTGTGACATCTTACAAGAAGAGGCAGACGCTCAGAAGCAGGTGGACTCCCCAGTGGAAGGTCACAGTGTCAGCACCCCCACAGGACAGAAGACGCAGGACGAGCAAGAAACAATCGGAGGACCCCAACGCGAGAGGACAGCCTGCCAGGACCAGCTTCAGGGAGAGGAACACCAGAAGCCCGAGGGACCAGTTTTCCCTGAGGCCGGAAGGCAGAGACAACCTGAAACAGAAGTGAAGGTAGAGGCCACAGCCGCTAGACCACGATGGGATGAAAATGGGGAGGAGGGACAGAGGGACCATGAAGCCGAGGAGCAGAGGCAGCACGAGATGGAGGAGCAGAGGCAGAGGGAGATGGAGGAGCAGAGGCAGAGGGAGATGGAGAAGCAGAGGCAGAGGGAGATGGAAGAACAGAGGCAGAGGGAGATGGAAGAACAGAG